GTTTTCAGATATAATATGGAAAAACTCAAAACCTCAGTAAGAACTTTTATTTTATTTTATTTTTAAGATTTATTTATTTATTTATACAAGAACTGGGGGACAAGCCAGAATCACAGGAGGGTGGGTGAGAGGATTCACCACAGGCTCAGCGGGGAACAGAACAGGCAGACTGACTGAAATACACTGCTGAGGGGAGCAGTGGGCGCGACAGGAGAGGTCTGCTTTGCCATGCCGGCCGGGATCGAAGCCATGCTGTGGACAGCTTCACAGTGCGGGCTCAACCACCTGCGCCATCAGGGGAGGCCCCTAAGTAAGAACTTTTAGAAAAAAATCTAGGCAGGAACTTGATATATATTACTTCAAGTTCATATTTATTTCTGAACACTTTTCTTTTAGGTCTTACTCTTATTTTACTTTCAAACTGTGAAAAAAACAAATGCACATTCTATTCAGGATTTGCTAGTATAACTATATTAGATAAAGTAAGGTACATTCTTTACAGTAAATCGTTTTTTTTTTACTTTGAATAAAACCTGTCAAATTCTATGTTCTGTTACATTTTTTTCTTTATATCACAGCAAACTTGTAGACTGCATTATTTTATTTCTTTCAGTATTTGCTCTAATATTGCATCTGTCACAACTTTGGAAACTTGAAGTTAAAATATACTAAATTATTGTTTTGGTAACATATCTCAGATATGAAAATCTTAGCTTTCTGCCCTAAATATCTACTTTTATGTGTAAGTATAAGGATCTGAATGGAGAATTTATCCCAAACTTCCTTTAAACCAACCTGAAACTGGTCCTCCCTGGTGGCCTCAGGGTTACATCTCAGTGCTAGTACTGCTATGGCCTTATTGGATCCCCAGCAAGGGAGCTAACCCACATATTGTGAAGCAAGGTCTGCTATTTCACTTGCTGCTCCCCTCAGCAGTGTATTTCAGTAGATCTGCCTGTTTTGCTCCCCACTCTGTCTCTGGTGAATCCTTTTACCCCCTGCACCTCTGGCCTACACCCCAGCTGGTTTTTTTTTTTGTTGTTGTTGTTTGTTTTTTGGTTTTTTTGGTATGCATAAACAACTACAAATAAATCTTTAAAAATAAATAAAAAAAGCAACCTGGAATCATTCTTCAGCAGTGTCTCTAATTTAATCTTAACTTTCAAATCTTTTTCATGCAATCTCCATACCACACCAGAAACATTAGAATTTCCTTGGGGCAGTTTTGTTATGTGTGGTATATATAGCCCTGAGTTGATTAGTTAGGTACTTGAAAGTCAGTAATGACAGGTTCATTCTAGATTTAAACACGTATCCTGAAGGGGGCCTCCCCTGGTGGCTCAGTGGTTGAGTGCTGGGCTGCGAAGCTGCCTGCAGCCTCTGCAGCGCCAGTTCGATCCCTGGCCACTAGAGAGGGTCCCACATGGCGCACAGACCTCTCCTGCCTCTCCGGCTGCTCCCCTCAGCAGTGTACTTCGTCAATCTGTCTGTTCTGCCCCCCACTCTGGCTCTGGTGAATTCTCTAACCCTCCCATGCTTCTGACTTTACCCAGTGCTTGTATAAATAAATAAATCTTAAAAAAAAAAAATGTATCCTGAAGGGCATTTTATCTCATTTCCTTTCGATGTTCTAATGTATAAGAGGATTTTGCTGTTCTTACTACATAGATAGGACTAAGCCTGAATTACTAAAATATATGCTGGGAAATGACTGTATTCTGGCTTATAATTAGCAAACTGTGAAAGACAAACATATGGTATTGTAAAATTTGTATTAGTTTCAAATATTTAAAGAACCACTTGTAAAATCTGCTAGAAATAACCATATTGTGCAGACAAATACTGTAGATAACAAGGAACAAACATATTTTTTAATGGATTTAAATTTTTAAACTTGCCTGTAGAAACTTTTGATTTCTATGTGCATCAACATCTTCTGGAAATAATCAGGTTTATTTTTTCTTCTCTTACTCTGGTGAGATTTATTAATTTTTCTTTTGCATACATTACCATGGCAAGGCCCTCCAGAAAAATGTTGAATAGAAGTAGTACTAATGGATTTTATTTTCAACTTCAAGGAGGAAAATGATCTAATTAAATATGATGTTTATGTTATGAATTAAGTGACTTTATATTATTGAAATATGTTCCTTAATTAAGTTCAACTTAGTTGTGATGCATTATCAACTACACATTTAATATGTTTTTTATTTTATTTAAATTTCTTTCTTATATACTTTTTTTATTTGGATGTTCTTTTTTTTTCTTAAAGATTTATTTATTTATTTATACAAGCACTGGGTACAGTCAGAAGCATGGGAGGCTGAGAGAAGTCACCTGAGCCAGAGCAGAGAGTAGAACAGGCGGGCTGACGAAGCACGCTGCCGAGGGGAGCAGTGGGCGCAGCAGGAGAGGTCTGTGTGCCATGTGGGACCCTCCCTGGGGATCAATCTGGCACTGCAGAGGCTGCGGGCAGCTTCGCAGCCCAGCGCTCAACCGCTGTGCCAACAGGGGAGGCCCTGGATGCTCATTTTTTTCTTAGGATTTTTTTTTTTAGATATGTTTAAGAGAGAGAATGACTATAAGTTTTCCTTCCTTTTAACAATTCTCCCTAAATTTTGTAACAATGTTATTTTTGCATCATTAAAAACTTGGGGGAAAGTATTTTTTTCAGGTCTCTGGTAGCATCTAAGAAAGCTGTTTGCTTTTCTTTAACTTTTGCATTGACCTTGCTGTAATGTGTATTTTATTTATCCTCGAATTTATACTGAATATTGAATCTATAAATTGATGTCTCTAACACAATAAAAAAATATCCTTGGCTGATATTTCTTCAGATGTTTTCTTCCCTCTCATGCCTTTCCTTGCTTTTAAGACTACAATTAGCCAAATGTTTCAATCTCTTACTATTTTACTTGTTAAAACTACTTTTTTTAAAATTTGTATCTCATTATTTTAGTTCAAATATATTTCTATTTTTAAAAACACTTTTTCCACCTGTATCCAATCTGCAAATGTTAATCTACCAAAATTTTAAGTTATATTATATATTCTTATTTATTTCCATTTGATTTCTTCAAATAAAACAATATTTTGCAAAAGTGTACTGCTTGTATTCACTGTAGTTAAATAACTAATTGTGAAATATGTGTTCGAAAATTATCTGTAGAATTTAGGTGCTTATTTCAATTGTGTTTTTTCTCGCTAGGCCATGTATCTTTATAGCCCTATATATATTTCCTTTAATGTCAAGCTTTATGTACATATAAGAAATTCAGTGTGAATGAGGTTATCTTTAAAGTGATTTTTTTATTTAATTTTTTGCTACCATGTAGATTAGAACATCCTCTTAATGCATCAGAGAACTGATGGATTTAGATAGAGTCTTTGTATTATCTTGCCTATTTCCAGTTCCCCTTTTTCCTAAGATGTAGCCTTTCAGAGACCCCATGTAAGATTCTTTTTGTTTTTTTATTTTTTCCATAGCCACTCATCTTTGTTGTTCCTTAAATTCAAGTTTTTAACTTTTAATTGCTATATAACTTACCCACTTCCTAGAAGACATCCACTGCTTGCCCAGCACTGCATAGGAATCAGCAAATACCTCTAGGGGAAAAGCAATACAGGAGGCTAGTTTTACCCTAACTTTCCTGCTTTAGGTCTAGCCTTTGCCTTTAACTTTGGCTAACTTTGGGCATGTAGTTCTAATATCCGTTCTTTCCCACAAGCACTGTTGACACTGTCAGGGTGTCTACCTAGTTGCTTTATGTTGAGTTTCTCAAATTCCTATCCCTGCTGCTTAAAATAAGTAAATATCTTGAAAGGGAAAGAAAAAGTAACATGTAGAATTTTGAGCTGACTTTCAAGAGTTTACCTTTATTCTAGGATTTGGTCTTGGGGAGTCCTGGTTACCTTAGTAGCTATCATTAAATACAAATAGTTGTTTTTCTACCTTAACTATCATTTTTTCCCCCTGCTGTTCCTATAAGTTACTGAATTGTATTTGGAAGTAGAATTCTCCAAGTGACTTTCTATCTTGTAATGTGTTATATTATGACTAATTCATTTTCATTTTTAAGTTCCCTTAAAGATTTATTATCAGAACATTTGTTTGGGTCTGCTGAATTTATCTAAGTATATTGAGTGTTTTCTCCTTGATATGCAGTATGGTTTATATTTAATTTTTAAATCAATTTATTCTTTTTATTGTGGTAACACTGGGATCCTTCCCATCAGCTATGTCTTCATTGTGATACAGTCTATGATATTAGTAGTAGATGCAGTTAGTCAAATTTAAGTATCATGGCCCTTTTAAAATCATAAAGTTGATATATATTACATAAGTCTTCTTATGCATTTATTAATGTATGTGATTAAAATATTTACAAGTACTGAGCTAATACATTTAGTTTGTTAGTTTTTGTTTAAACAGTTGGGTACAGAATATGAACCTTAACAATATACTTTATAGTTTAGCTGATAACCCTTTTCACAAGCCACATTTCATAATGTTTCATACTAAAAAAGAATCAACTTCTATAAATTTATAAAATTTTAATTTGGAATAGTACAGTTAGGAAATCTGCCTCAATGTCAAATGGATTAAATTACCTTTCATCAATAATTAAAGTTAGCATAGGCATGTTAGAAATTTACTATTTCTGTGACTTAAGATTTAATAAATGAATGCCCTAATAAATACAGATAATATATCCTTTAAGTCTGTTAAGCATAGAAAATCAAGTTAATTTATAATTCACTCATTGTATTCTGAATTAAAACATTGATTCCAAAGTAGATATTTTGACATGTTAATAATGATGAAAATAAGGAGAGATGAATTGACTTTCTCTAGAAAATTCTAAAAATAGCTGTGTAGTTCTGTACAATTGATGGCACATTTATTTTTAATTATTTTTTTTAAACATCCTTGCTTATTTACTCACAATATTGGGGGTGGCACTTTTTAAATACTACATTTTCTTATGTGTTGTTTACAGGCTGCCAGGAACTGGACATTCACTGACACCTCAAGGTGACATGGACTCTAGCAGCTCTGAAGAATTCTATCAGGCTGTTCACCATGCTGAACAAACCTTCAGAAAGATGGAAAATTACTTGAAACAACAGCAACTTTGTGATGTTATCCTGATTGTTGGGAACCGGAAGATACCTGCTCATAGGTAGAGTAACACATTTTCATTGGAAATAGTTATCCCAATGTTTAAAAGTGATAGGCTTGTATGCAGTCTGAAGAATATTCAGAGATCTGAGATTACTGAGAAACCAGACAAAGAGTCAGATAAAATCAACTTCAAAAAGTAGCCATTGAGAGCCTCCCTGGTGGCACAGGGGTTAAAGATACAGTGCTATCAACCTATCTGCAGCCACTGCAGCAGGAGTTCGATCTCCAGCCAGGGAGCTACCCACATGGCACAGCAGATCTCTCCTGTCTTGCCCACTGCTCCCCTCAGCAGTGTGCTTCAGTGGATCTGCCTGTTTTGTTCCCCACTCTGTCTCTGGTGAATCCTCTCACTCCCCACACCTCTGGTCTACACCCCAGTTCTTGTATGCATAAATAAATAAATCTTTAAAAAAAAGTAGCCCTTGGAAGCTGACTATGGAACTGAGACACCAAGAGGGGGAATGAAAGGGGCAAGCACAAAACTGGGTGGGAACATCATAGACTATGGTGGAGGACTGTGGATGCTTTGGTGGGAGCACTGTGGTAACATCACTAGAAAGGGGAGGATCCTACACTTCCAAAACACACACAACAATGTAAACCAATGATTTTGTTTTTTGTTTTTTTAATAACCAATGTAAAAAAAAATTAAAAAGAAAACCCACATTTTGAAAGACATCAAGTATTTTACTTTTTCCTGTTAAGAGGCATGTTGTAACACCATTGTAATTAATCTTCCTTTTAAGAAATAAAGCAAATATAAATAGTTCTGAAACAAAACTTCTTATATCTAGCATTGTTAGATACTATAATTTTACGTGACTTACAATCATAGTAAGGGGAAATCAATTTTAATGTGGAGGGCATAACTAACTTTTGAAATGAGATGTGCTTTTTTTGCCCAAATTCAAAGGAAATCAAGGTATCTTGGGTATATATTGCTATTTCAACTAGAAAAATCAAAACATTTCATATCAGCACACTTATTTTGCATTTAATAATTTATGACATAATAATATTTTTTTAAAAGATTTATTTATTTATTATTTATACAAGAGCTGGGGTACAGTCAGAAGCGTGGAAGGGTGAGAGAATTCACCAGAGTGGGGAACAGAACAGACAGAGTGATGAAGTACACTGCTGAGGGGAGCAGCAGGTGTGGCAGGAGAGGTCTGTGTGCCATGTGGGACCCTCGCCGGTGGCCAGGGATCGAACCGGCGCTGCAGAGGCTGCGGGCAGCTTTGCAGCCCAGCGCTCAACTGTTGCGCCACTAGGGAGGCCCATAATAACATTATTCTTAAGGTCAGTGTATTTTAAAGCCGGTATACTTTTAAGCATTCCTATACATTTAATTATTGAGAATTCTAAGTTTCATGAACAGGACATCTGATTATTTTATGCCACATGTGTTACTATGAGTTTACTTAGGAGATTCATTACATTTTATATTGATACTTTGCTCAATATTTTTACATTTTGAATGAGAAAATAATTTTGATTTAGTTTTTGACACTGATTAAATATATGTTCAAATATCCTTAGATTAACTTTGATATATATCACCTCTAACACTTTAGTAACAGTGAATTTAATACAGAGGGTAAATTATGCATGGATAGAAAATGTTGTAATGTACTCCTTTTCTCTTTGTTTTAAAATTTAAATTATATTACCCTAAATTGAGGCTATAAGAGTTGGAAGGGGTGGCTGAGAGCAAATAAGGGAGAGTCTAGTGGACTATGTTTGAAGAATATGAGTTCCTTGGTGATAGGTGTGATATGAAAACATGCATCTACAGAAGTATAGTCCTATATCTCTGAATCTTATACAGTATTATAGGCCAATATTACCGCAATCAAAAAAAATGCCAATATCAGATATTGAACAAAAATTATATTATCTTGATAACATATATACAGTTACATGTGTTCTATTAAAAGGATTCCAGAAAAATAGGCCATATTTCTTCCAGGATAGCAATATTAAAATGTGGACATCAAATTTGAGCCAATGTACTAGAAATGCATAAAAAGGAACACTTGACACTGAATAACTAATTTAGGTCATGTAGGGTTCAATCTGTCAGCTAACTATGGCAACAATTCTAATAAAACACTGTTCACACATATTTTTCAAATCTTTCTATGAAGTTACATTACCATTGGCAAGGGCTATTAACATAGAGTAATTATTATTGAGGCATTCATATGCTGTAAAATATGTCAAATTTCCCTAAGCTATCATCTAAATAACCTCTATATTAAAAATGTATTGTGAGAGATATTCTTAATTTGAGAAAGTAGCTATATTTGTTTCAGTTATCTTACAAATTAGTTAAAAGGCCATACACATATTTTTTGGATTAAAAGTTAAAGAAAATCAACTCAAAAGTATATTAGCACATCAAATGATCATTAATATTTTTTAAATTGAGTGACATTTCATATTATTTATGTAATCTTATTTTACAGCCTTTTATTGGTATTAATATGATATTTCTTACTTGAGACACTTTTAATCAATACACTAAACAATTATATTACTCATTTTCGACATTGTTTTCTTTATTGCTATTTTTTACCTAGAGTGTTTATATTATTTTCTAAATTATTTGTTAATTATGCAGGTATTTTTTAATAATAATCCAGTTGATTGAGAAGTAAAATGTTTCATGACTTAGATCACTCTAAATCATCTGAGCAAAATAGTACTTCAGTGCTTATTATTCAGAACATTTTAATATTTATATTAGACAGATATTAAATTAAATGTATTATTATCAGTCATCTACACTTTCCTTAAATGTGATAAGAAAATGTTTAGTCTAAGCTACTCATGTTTTCTTTGCACCATCATTTTAACTTTTAGCACTATTTTACACATAATTTACATATTTCTGATTCTAAATTAAACATACACTAAAAAATATGTGGGAAAATAGTTATGGGGCATCAGATAAAGGCAAGCACTGTTTTCAGTATTTGAAAGTATATTGTATCTCCTTATTTATACTTTTGCAAAATAAAACAAATATAAGTAAAATTATCTATTAGATTAAAATATCTTAGTTATAATAACAAACTGACAGATTTATAAGTCATTCTCATATTTTGACTAGATCATCTAAGTATCATATGTATATGATAACACTGGAAAATAAAGAACCTTTATAGTAATTTGAAACAATGGAAAAATAATTTATAGTAAGATATGTTTTTTATTTCAGGGAGGACACTGAAAGCTTCTATCATAAGCGCTCTCTAAATAATCATTTTATAGGTCATAATTTCATATTATCTTATACATTTTTTAAAATAAATTCATATTTAAATTAATTGTTATCATGAAAGGACGTTCTATAAAATCCTTTGTTTATAGACTGGTTACATTGTATGTATTTTTTTAACCTGATATAGGTCACAACTAAATTTAGTAGGTCACAATTTAAATAAATGTCTTGTCTATGGAGATGCATTAGGTAATTGCCAGGCATATTTTTAGGTAGTTAAGAGCTGAAAGGCTAATAATACTTAAGATGATACATCAATAGGTTCAATAGGTTTTAGCACAAAAAAAAAATGATCAAAATTCTGAATTCATCTTTGCTTTAGGCCCTCAGAGAAATCCTAAAATAAATATAGACTTCTCACAAATGGCCTAGAATATTTGATTAAACACAAGTGAACCAAAACATTTGAATGCAAATCACTGAATACCAAATATAAAGGAGTTTTTACATATGTAGGATGCCTGTGATCAGTAAATTAGGTGCTAAAAATTAGACTGGCAATATCAATATTAATTTTGGGGTAGTCAAATTTTCAACATGAAAAAATTATCGGACATTCAGTGTCTACTCTTCTATAATGCAGAAGTATGTAATGTAATGCATTTCAGTTTATGAAGTTTTCCCCTTTACCCATTATTATAAGCACAGTGGACAGAAATAAACAGGAAAATTTCTATAGCTAACATCCATTGAGTTGGAAATGATGTTATTTCTAACTTTATGTGTACAGAAACAGTGTGGAAGGATATAAAACAATCAGCCTACAAAGCGTATTCCTGGGGAGCAGAGCTCATAGAGCAGCATGAAGGAGGTCTAGTGTTTTGTTTAAACATTGTATAAACATAGGTATTCTTGAATTCTTTAGGATGAGCTAGCAATCATTTATTTTAAGATTTATTTATGCATACAAGAACTGGGATGATATAGGCCAGAGGTGCGGAGAGTGTGAGTACTCACTAGAGACAGAGTAGGGAACAGAACAGGCAGATCTACTGAAATACACTGCTGAGGGGAGCAGTGGCAAGACAAGGAGAGGTTTGCTGTGCTGGGGGGTCAGCTCCCTGGCCAGCCCAGGATGCAACTTGTGCTGCAGTGCCTGTGGATAGCTTCATAGTGCTGCGACCTAACCCCTTGCGCCACCAGGGAGGCCCACATGTAATAAATTTATGATTAAATGAAATATAAAATGAAATATAAAATGATATGTGATGAGGAAAATATAATCCTATCCTAGAGACCAAATCAATGTGTATTTCCAAATGAATTATAAATTGTTTTCATTTTTGTTCATTATTGAGAATGAATTTAGTATTTCAAAATGTATTTTTCATTTTAATGTTCTTTACCAAGCACTATTATCAATATCAACTCAATTACCAAAATAGTTGAGGTTAAAAGTGGAAATTGAAATGATGTTATTTAGTAACACTTAAAACATATTAAATACAGTAAAAAAAAATTCCATTAGAAAAGTAGATATTGATGCTCAGGAGTAAGAGAGTAGTATTGTTTTTCCATGCTGATAGAAAGTTTATTTACCTAGATTTTTTTGTTAGGAGAAGAATAACTCATCTTCATTTTGTTAATTCCAACATCCATCCAAATTTCTCAGTCAGCTAGGTATATAAAGTATATATATATATATGTGTGTATGCATATGTATATAATGAAATATAGTTCAGTTTGTGTACTTTTTCCCCCTTTAGTCT